TTTCAAGTCTGGTGCAAAAACGCATGATCGCACCGGCTCGCCTGGTGCGTTCCAGCCTGGGTTTGATATGTCGTGATTTTCGATGATTCCACTGTAAAAGTTCGTAAAAGGCTCATCCAAATGCATCTGCACGTGCGAGAAGTGGCTGCGTTTAATAATTATTACAAAAATTATTATTGTAGGCGACCACTGTTGCTGCCCAAAAAAAAATACCCGCTCAAGAAGACTGCCCGGAAATTTACTAATAAAAGGCTTACAGGTTTGAACAAATTATCGTCCCACTTCTCGAAGATTTTTTTGAACTCGACTGTTTCCTTCCCCTGCTCGAGTTTCACGATGCGAGCCATTTCCGGACGTGGACGCACATCACCTTCCAAATATTTCTGGAATTTTATACGAAAAAACTATGACTTATGATGGCATTAGTACAGCATTATGACGAAACTTTGCTTATGCATTTTGTTTGATATCGCAAAGGTGTGTTATTGTGCTCTTTACAAATGTGGGCATCTGCATTTGCATAAGCGCAAAAGTCTGAAGCTAACGTAAGTTCCGGACCCCTAGTACGAAAATCAGAATTGGAATTATTTTTTTTGAACTTTCTTGCTTTGCACTCATTTGTGCTTGATCCTAGTTTAGCTTTATTATATACCAAATTTACTGAATTATAAAAAACAAACTGCACTGTATAGGAATTCACAGTCCTGGGATTTTCCTGATCCCATTTGCCTCACAGTACAGGGGACTCTAGCCCCATATTTCCATTGGGCCTTTAATTAGAACAAAATTTATAATTCAAATTTTAAACGTCTCACTGTGCTCCACAAAGAATCCAAGCAAAACGTACGTGCCAATGCTGTTGTTCATGCTGTGCTCATTATTGTAAGTGTTAGCTAAATTTCTTGGTAATGCTTAAATAGGATGCAACCGACGACATACGCTGGCGACACTTTCGGCGAACTTCTTTTCGTTCTCGTTAGCTCCGCTACCGACCCAAACATAAATGACACTCAGTGCATCCAAAATCATCACATCGTCGCCATCTAGATCCTGCAATCACTCATTCTCGAGTACACAGCTGCTGATGTTTCATCTGTGAAAAACATTAAAGAAACTCAGTTTTATAAAACATAAAATATAGCTAGAACCATCAAAGGGGGTCCCTCACAAACGCATATGAGAATAGATAAGTTAAGTGTACAGTGTACATTTTTTATAATATTAATATTCTCACCCATAAAAAACTCAAAATAAGGTAGTAGCAGCAAGAAAGTACTGAAAATGCTTGAGGTATTATATTAGTAAAGAGATAAACCTATAAAAAAGGTCGTCCTACGTTTAAAGAAATAAACTTATACAAAAGGTCGTCCTAAATCATCAGAAAAACCTGGTTCTGGCCATTTTGGCTACTGAGCTAATTGAGTGTCAACAGTATCCCGAGTCAAATATTCACTTGCCTGAACAAGTGATCTAGGCGTGCTTGAAGCTGAATTTGAAAATCTCGGTCGGAAATGAGTATAGAACACTTTCGTGAAATTCCACCTTCCTAACTTAACTGGTTAACAAATTCACTTTTTGTTAAAAATATCTCAGATGAGCCAAAATGAGTTACACAGGCGCAAGCCAAATCTTATTTTTCGCCTATGTGTTGCAAGCGGACGGTATTTTCGCAAAATCATATTATAAACAAATTTGCTATTGAACTGGCATTTTGCCGACGATGGCAAAACGACTGCTTTGCTATGTCCTTTACTTGTGAGATAGGAAAGCTTTAAAGCTGAATTTAAGATCTTTTCCTCATGCAGAGGCATAGAATATCCCTTTGAAATTTTAGCTTTCAATCTACTCCGATTCCCAAAATCGTTCTTCCGCTAAAAAATTTGCACGAATTTTTTTGGCCCCTGTACGTAAGACCCAGCTGTTCGAGGGCATTGATATTCATATGTTTGGAAGGCACATGGTCTAGGAACTTCTTTGTGAAATTCTAGCTTCCTAGCTTCAAAAGTTGCTAAGTTGAATGTGAGTAACAAAAATCCGAACACACACACACACACACAATACACCGACAATGTGGGTTTTTGCATTTGCAAAAAAGCATAATAAAAACAATTCCGCAAAATATGTAAAGAAATTAATACTGGTCTAATATAAAGGATAGTAAAGAACTAGTACGTTAATTAAAATAATGTAATGCAAACGTAAACAAGATAAAAAACAGAATTTTGATGAATAGCTGGAAAGGAAT